CAATTTACTAATGACTTCTCTCATTTACTTCTATCAAAGATGAACAATTCATCCATTTTCTATTTCTCCCCACTGTAATGCATAAAATGCCATTGACGGACAGCGACTATGGAAATTTTGGACTGGTCTGGCAGGACTTTTCATAGAATCCATTCACGTTGTTTCTCGATATCAAATAGTGCAAGGAAACCCTGAGATACAGTCTGAAACTATTGCTTCTGATTAATCTCTCAGTAACTGCCTAAACCAGGTTTTGATTGTGTGTCGTACTTCTCTTCGTATTACTTCTCTGTCGTACTTCGTTCGATTTTTTATCTGTTTCGCAAATGGCTAGTCAGGGACTACTGTAATACAGTAATTTAACTGGACCTGCGGCTGAGATGCATTTGTAATGAAGCGAAATTAAAAATCAGCAGTTCTTGTACGCGAGTATTTTCGACAACTGTTGGAGACAAGAACAGGCATCCACATTACAGAAAATGAGTATATGGATTTGCAGATGCCATGATGCTTTTAGAGATTGTACGATCTGAAAGCATATGCAAGTGTGACTCAATTTAATGCCCACTCCCATGAACTGTAGTACGTTTCGGAAACTATGATGGCGCTTTCCTAACCAAACGAGTTAATAAGAAGCAGTATGGCAGATTCGTCGCCGTTTGAACATTTTCTGGCATCTGCGTAACATTTTGCCACCTCATTGCTGACTGGTTCGAGTATGACGGACTGATTTTGCAAACGTTTGGAAAAAAGTCGTTGTTTTTGCAAGTCAGATGATTTAAATGACAAGTTAAGCGTCAAAAGTGTCATATTTACAGAGGAGCTTCGTCGTCTGGCCGATAATTAGAATTTGCACGACCTCATAATAGCAACCACTTCCGCACAATGATTATGGCTAATTAACAGTTTCACTACGTTTGCTTCCTAGTTTTCCTGGTCCGCATTCCGCGCTGACTTGTTTCTCGACCTTCCTTCCGGCTTAGAAATACACCGTAGGCGAAAGTTGACACAATACGAAAAATGCCTCCGCATCAGGTTTCACTCACCATCGGTTTTTGTTTCCAGACTGCTGAACGATTTGTAACTCTTAGAACTGTAATGTGCAAGAAAGTCTGAAAATTTCCTAGTTGAACAAAACCGTCAGGGATAATTTTCCATGAAATAAATAGTAGCAACGGATTTTTTCAAAGGCAATTCTCTATAAATCCAATATTAACGTTCACGATTGGCAAGTAGACAGTGGTCAAATCACGGAATCACATGTTACAGTGAGGTAGCCCAGCGATGATCTGTCATTTTTCCTGAAACGGCCTAGCTACGAAGGCGATACTAATGAATCCTGGGGAGTTTCTCTATTTTCATAAAACAAATATAGTTGGAAATAAAAGACTGAATACAAATGTAAACAGAAAGGTCTGAGCATCATCAGTGCTCATTCTCAAAGACAGACACTAAAATCGTCACCTATTGAGACAATGGCAATTACATTCGTCATGTTGCATAGACTACGGGTGAAAACCAGCAGCTTCAAAAACAGACTTTTGTAGACATGTTCATATAGTCAAATCATAACCAGTGCTCCAGTTCTCGGGGCATTATCCAATTGAGCCTATCGAGAAAAAAAATGTCTACGTGAAGAAGTTGGAAGGGAGGTGTCGCGGAAGTGAAGTGTGGCCTTCGCTCAGGCTGAAGATCCATTAGCATGATTAGTTTGCTGAAAATAGTGAGAGGTAACTCATCCGGTTTACAAGTAGAAATTGTACTTTACAGAATTTGAGAAAAATTATGGTCGTATTACATGTAAGAAGCAACTAATGAGTTTGCAGAAATGGCCATTTGCCACGAGCTATCAACAATATTGTCACCATATGTTGACAGCAGGTGCTACAGCAGATTAAGCGTCGCTTAGTTGAGACCTTTGAGCATTGGCACTCATGCTCAAAGGTCTCACACACACTCACTCACTCTATCACTGCAGGTGTAATGATTGATTTAAACAATGTAAAATGTGCATTAAAACATTGTCAGGGAAAATAATATTTACATTCTCAGAAGACTTTCGATTCAGTGTAGATATGTTCTTCATTAGATTCTTTTAGGAGCTAGGGAACTGAGAAATGATGCAGAGACTTCATCGCCATGATTTACAGGGCTCCATCTCGTGGAGTGAAGTTTCACGAAAGGACATGGAAGCTTATAATAAATATGGGTCTCGAGAGGGTGACAATATCAAAAGCTTTTCACAGCAGGCCTAGAAAAGGTCTACAAGACACTCCTTTAGGAAAACCAAAGGCTGAAGATAAATTTACACTAATTGAACCATATATGGCTTGCACGCGATTTTTAATCCTTTCAAGTTCACCAAAATAACATCAACAACAAAAGCAATCGCTTGACGACGCCTCAATGTTGGACTGAAAATGACCGTGAAGAAGACTCAGGTCGCGTTCGTCAGATACGTGATCCCCCGATCTGTTGACGTTAACTGACGCAGGCGTGAAGTGTTGCAGATCTACATTTCCTTGGCACAGGTGATCTCTTCATGGAAAATCGACTCTGTGTAATCAGCAGTAGAACAAAATGGCATTCGGCGCTTGTGAAAGACTGAAAATGTTTCTATCCGGGACACACATCTTGTGCGTGAAACAAAAATTTTGGATCAGTATGTTTTCTCAGTGCTAACCGCCTAGTGCGAAACGTGTACCCTAGGAATGAAATCAATTCAAACCGTTCTTGGACAATAACCCCCCTCCCGGACAATAACCCCCGAGGCAAAAACTCTGGACCAAAACTGGAAACTATATTTCATTTTGAAGATAATTGATTAACCACAGCATCGTCAATACCATTTATTTACAGTGAACTATAGACAATGTTGGGGTGTCAGAAACAATCTTGAGACCTTTGAGCATTGGCACTGGTTTCGGCCAAGGGTACGTCCACTCACCCATATCGTTTCTGCTGTACATGAATAGGATAGTCAGACGCAACCTGGGTGACGAGTGAATGAGCGTGGAGATGCGGAGACGATATGTTCGCTGATTCTTAACACTTTGTATTGTTGGCAACGTCTGAAACTGATCTGCAGCGCTCTCAGGAAAAGTGCCAGTCACAACTGGACGTGACTGACGTCGCCGGCATGTGCGCAAATGTATCCAACACGAAAAGTATCATGCTTGTTCGTTTTCACTCCCTCTGCGTTCTGGAGATAAATAGACAAGCAGCGGAACATGTGGAGAAGCTCAGGTTCATCGGAATCACGTTCTTTGGTAATGGAAATTGTGAGGAAGCGATCGACTGACGAATTGGAATGGCCAGAGACGGTCTGCGTGAACCAGCCCTAACCGTTATGGCGAAAGCAGATCTGAATCTTAAGACCATGCTCTTTGTACCCAAGTCAATCTTCATCCCAGTGCTCAGTTACGGTCATGAGTTGTGGGCCATGACTAAAGAACTTCGATCCCTGGTACAAGTGACTGAATTCTACTTTTTGCAACGAATCGCCGTACTAACGCATTTCAACGGAGACAAGAATTCAGATATCTGAGAAAGCTTTCGCTTACAGCCGCTGCTTCTCCAGCCTGAGAAACTACAGCCCTGTTGGTTCCGGGCGAATACCTTCAAGGATTAAGGTGAACCATACTAACATTTGCCCAACCGATTGACAGAAGGTTCCGCTGATGGCA